AAAAAAAAAAAAGATTTACAAAGTCAGAAATCCAGAGAGGGTTGCTGTGAGTTGGAAGCAGTGAGTTTTTGTTGATGCTAGCTTTTCGTTTTATGTATATATACTTATACAATAGAATATTGAAAAGAGAACAAAAATATTGCTAAATGTTAATATGTGGCTGAATGGTGAAAACAGTGCTAAATAAAAGAAGTTAGACACACACAAAAAAAATTTGTTGGTTACAATATTTGCCAATTCAACATTTTTTTTCAGCCACCCGATTTTGTGATAGTAATTATTGCTTGACAATGTTAAATGTCAAAGAGCGCGATTCAAAAAGGAACCAGTAAATGGCTGTTGAGTCCTGAGTAGAGGCTCTACTGCAGACCTTGTCTAGAGGAGGAGGTAGACTGTAAAATGTCCAATTGCTCTGGGTCCTGGTATAGAGAGGGGTTTTTCCACAGGGGCCCAGGGTAAAAGAACATTCTGGAATTGCCCCTTGCACCAGAGCAGAGACGGTGGCAGATGTGTTTTCAGGGGCCCTATTGCAGTGCCACTCATGATGAACAAAATTCTTTCTGTGAGTTCAATTTGTTGTTGTTATGTGCCACTGAGTCTCCTGTGACCCACAGCAACCCTATGGACAGCAGCTCTGAACCCTGCCCTGTCCTGAGCCAGTTTTACTCATTGCAACACACCAACCCCCATTGAGTCCAAGAGAGGCACAAAAAGTCAGATGAGATACACCTGAGCCTCAGAGACTCTCTGGCTTGAGGAAGGAAAACAGCTCAGTTTATGGTACTGTGATGATGATGACAATGATGATGATGAGCTCTAACCAGACTCCCCTCCATGACCTTCGACCTTCCACCCTCAACCCACAAATCCCCTGGGAAGTCCATGTAGTGTTCAGTGTAAAGTGCCCTATGACAGAAATACTGAAGCGAATAGGTGACAACTAACATCACTAACAACAGCTAAGAGATTCCCAGCCTATGAATCTGTCATCCCATGGTGTCTACAGGTTATGGTATTTCTCAAGGGGTATCAACAAGAAATACTATCAATTTATACTATTTTACCTAACCCAAATTGATAAACCCAGCTCACAACTTAACTGACATCTGGCCTTCCATTATATCCTTTAGATTCACCAACTGGTGACGCTGCATTATTATTTTTTTTCTTGTTGTGTACCATCTAATAAGATCCTAGTGGCACATGTGGAGATCACCCCTCCTTCTCCAGTGGAGCACCTGGTGGATTCAAACCACGTGCCTTTGGGATAGCAGCGCAGCTTCTTGTCACTAGGCTACTAGAGCTCGCATTATGTGTTCTTAACTCTTCTTTTGGCACAGTCTACAGCTTGCTATGAGTCAGAGAGCGGGACAATGACTAGGGATGATAGAAGGAGAGTTAATACCTTTGAGATGTGGTGCTTGAGAAGAGTATTGAATATACCATGGACTGCTAGGAGAACAAATAGGTTCAACCTAAAGAGGGTGAAACCAGGCTGCACCTTGAAGGCAAGGATTCTGAAGCTTTGGCTGGCATACTTTGGACATATTGCAAGGAGGACAGCTCAGGAGAGGAAGACCCTCGGTGAGATGGATTGATTCAGTCCCTGGGACAATAGGGGTAGGTGTGTCAGAGACAGTAAAGTTGGCACAGGATAGAGCAGAGTTTAGGACTCTTGTACATAGAGTTGCTATGAGATGCAAGGAACTCGATGGCACATAACAACAACAGCATTTAGCCTAGTAACAACAAAACTGGCTCAGCCTTACCTGGAATGCCTGGAGGGCCTGGAGGCCCGGGAGGTCCCTGGTAGCCTCGGAAGCCATAGTCACCATGGCAACACTTGCTGCAGTCAGGAGGCAGACCTCCGGTTTGTGGAGACTTGAAAAGAAACAACACAGACAGAAGCTTCAGAGAAAGACAACCACAGGTAAGTAGGATTTATAAAACAAACAAAACTCTGTGTGTGTGTGTGTGTGTGTGTGTGTGTGTGCATGTGGCATTGGTTCCTAAGTAAGATGTGGTTTAACTTCAAACAATTCACAGTAACATCAGGGGGAAATGGCAGAGGGTGGAGAGGTCAAACGCATGGGGTAAGAGAGTAACTAAGGAGGGCCGAGGGAGGCAACAAGAGTCAAGAGAAGAATGTGTTCCTCTTTGGGAAAGAGTGAGAGATTGTGGGGCTAGGGGCTACGATGGTACAGGCACACCATATCTCCTTGCACATCAACATTACTGCACTGCACAGATACTGCTTTTAAACCCCCGCCCCAAATTAACAATTCATAGCAACCCTGAGTCAACCAAGTGTAATGGCACCATTTTTGTCTCACTTCGTGTCCCTCTGTCACATATTGGTTACCGCATTGAAACAGATGAGGGAGAGAACTGTTTAAAAGGGATATAAGATTAGGTATCATTTGCATGGCAAGAGTCCAGAATAAGAGCTGCACAGTAAAGTG